CTTTATTGGAAGAACTTGCATGACATCTTTTGTCCTACCCTCCCGTGGCAGCAGGGTCCATATTGGAAACTAAGGGATATTAAGGCCTCCTTTTAATAGAGAATTGGAACAAAGCATTAACACATAGTGAATACATGAACTCCTCAAACTACAGTCATCACCGGGAGTGGGTCCGGTTGTTGTCACTCCGGGGTTGCCGGATCATAACAGGTAGTAGGTGACTATAACTTGCAAGATCGGATCTAGAACATGTATATAATGGTGATAACATAAACGGTTCAGATCTGAAATTATGGCACCCGGGCCCAAAGGGACAAGCATTAAGCATGGCAAAGTCATAGCAACCTTAATTTAAGAACATAGTGGATACTATTGATCAAGCCCTAACAAAACTAAATTGATTACATGATGAATCTCATCCAACTCCTCACCAACCAGCGAGCCTAGGAAGGAATTACTCACTCCCGGTGGGGAGCATCATGGAATTGGCGATGGAGAAGGGTTGATGATGACGAAGAACGAAGATCCCCCTCTCTGAAGCCTCAAACGGACTCCAGATCTGGCCTCCCGATGAAGAACAGGAGGTGGCGGCGGCTCCGTCTCGTGGATCGCGATAATTCTTTCTCCCTGATTTTTTCTGGAAAAAATAGGATTTTATAGTGTCGGTTTCAGGGTCTGCGGGGCCACCAGGTGGGGACAACCCACCTGGGCGCGCCCTGGTGGGTTGTGCCCACCCAGGTGCCCCTCTCTAGCAGGTCTTGGCTCCAGAAATTCTTATTATTGATATAAAAAATCCTCGCAAAGTTTCGTTCCATCTCGAGAACTTCTATTTCTGCACAAAAACCCATGGCAGTTCTGCTGAAAACAGCGTCAGTCCGGGGTTAGTTTCATTCAAATCATGCAAATTAGAGTCCAAAACAAGAGGAAAAGTGTTAGGAAAAGTAGATACGTTGGAGACATATCAGGGTTGTCTATAATGATTGCACACAATTCTGATTACCGACCTGTTTGCCCGATATCACACACATCTTGTTACGCCGAATCATTTTTGGTCACCTCGATCATCGCAAATGGTTCATCGGATCGAACTGTGTGCCGTATATCGCACACACATTGATCTGGCTGCCCGTTTCTGTTGTCCTGTCTCATCACAAACGGTTCGTATGGATCAACCATATTCCCAGCATCGCACACGCAACTAAAATTTGAATCGTGTTTGATGTATCATTCATCGCAAACGTTTTGCGTCTTTTTTGACGGGTTTTTACATCACCGTTTGCGATTAATGCATCGTACACAGTTTCATCAAAGGGTCTCTGATTGTAGTGTCGCATTAGCAGCAACCTGCAGTAGTGTATGTCTTGCATATGAATACCTGTGGTGACAATGGAGTATTATGTCGATTCATTTGCTATATGTTTTGGCACTCAACTCGCGGATTCCTAAGGTGGCATTGGGGTAATCTATGCATAGGGGTTGATGCATGTTTTTTTCCTACTTTCTCTGGTAGAAATCTCGGAGCACTCTTTGAAGTTCTTTGTGTTGGATTAATATTATGAATCTAAAGTTGTTTGATGCATATCGTATAATCAACTCATGGATACTTGTGGTGACATTGGAGTATCTAGGTGACATTAGAGTTGGTTGATGTGTATCATATGGTGTTATTTTAGTACGAACTCTATGGTTGTTTGTGACACTTATAGGAATAGCTCGATAGATTGATCGGAAAGGATAACTTTGAGGTGGTTTCGTACCATACAAACAATTGCATCTTATGTTCTTCGCTTGATAAGAACTTTGGAGTGACTCTTTGTCACACATTGAGGGATTGTTATATGATTCAATTATGTTAGCACTATTGAGAGACTGCACTAGTGAAAGTATGAACCCTGGGCCTTGTTTCTAAGCATTGTAATAGTGTTTGTGCTCACTTTTATCAATTGCTACCTTGCTGGGTTTTTTATTTTCATATTACAAAAACTTATATCTACTATCCATACTGCACTTGTATCACCATCTCTTCACCGAACTAGTGCACCTATACAATTTTCTATTGTATTGGGTGTGTTGAGGACACAAGAGATTTCTTGTATTTGATTGTAGGGTTGTTTGAGAGAGAATATCTTCATCCTACACCTCTCATGGATTGATAAATCTTAGGTCATTCACTTGAGGGAAATTGCTACTATCCTAAAAAACTATGCGCTTGGAGGCCCAACACGAGTCTACAAGAATAAATTGTGTAGTAGACATCAACGACCATTTGACGCTGACGGACGACTAATTTTCATTCAATGCCCTCTTCGTTGACAATTTTCAGCGGCGCTTTCAGATGTGCAAAAATGTCTTTGATCGTCTCTACCATGGCGTCCGGTCCTTTGATGACTACTTTATCTTGAAGAAGCACATGTGGGACGGGTTGGGTTCTCTGGTTACCAGAAGTGCACGGCCACACTACGGATGCTTGGATATGGCATGGCCACTGATTCGTGGGACGAGTACCTAGGGATGTCCGAGAGCAGATACGGAGATGCCATGGTCAGGTTTGCAACTGTCGTGATCGAGGTGTTTGGACCTCTGTACCTTAGAGAACCAACTGTCGTAGACACTGAGAGGCTCTTGGCAATCTCGGAAGCAAGAGGGTGGCCAAGTTTGCTCGGATCTCTTGACTGCATGCATTGAAAATGGAAAATTTTGCCCAAAAGCTTTACAAGGGCAATATAAGGGTCATGGTAAGAAGCCCACCGTCATTCTTGAAGCAGTTGCATCACATGATCTTTGGATTTAGCATGCTTTATTTCGCATGCCCGGGTCTCACAATAACATCAATGTGCTACAGCAATCGCCGTTGTTTGCTAGGCTGACTGAAGGAAAGCTCCTCCTTGCCTCTATACTATCAATGGGCATGAGTAAAACATTGGCTACTATCTGGTTGATGGTATCTATCCTCCGTGGGCTATCTTTGTGAACACCATCTCTAACCCAGTTCGGCAGAAAAAAATCTAACTTTGTCCAAAGACAAGAAGCAGTAAGAAAGGATGTTGATAGGGGATTTGAAGTTCTACAGGCACGTTTTACAGTTGTTCGTGGACCTACTAAACAATGGGATCCGGAGACCTTGTGAGAAGTGATGACATATTGTGTGATCATGCACAACATGATCATGGAGGATGAGGGTGTCGATGCTGTCGCAAGTCTTGAATTTGATAACATGGACGATCTTATCAAACTTTCAGACCAGAATCTGACCACATTCAAAGAGTTTGTTCAAATACACCAACAAATTCGACATCGAGCAACTGAAGGAAGATTCGATTGAGCATTTGTGGGTGGTCAAAGGGGACAACGATGTTGGAGTGTAATATTTGAATTTATTTAAACTAGAACTACTGCTGCATGTGAACACATTTAAACTATTCTAGCTATATATGTGGCTATTTGAGCATTTGAACACATATACTATACCACTAAGCTCCCTAGGAATGGAGGCCTCTCATTCAATTGAGGTCATCAATTCGGAATTGTGTCGCCAATTTTGATCGGGTCAACAATCTCTCACTCAATTCTTTTAATTCACTATGCTCTCTAATTTTGGAGCTCTCTCGTTGCATTGAGATATTCAATTGGATTTGGTTCATGATTTTGACTGGATCAATAATTTTTCGAATCAATCGAAAACAGCAGGCCGATAAAAACATATCAACCACACACACCCTCTCATCATCTAGAAAAAAAGAAGACTCAAAATTTGATACTCCGCACCAATATAGTACATGCAGCACCATCGCAGAAAATTTTCCAACATAAGTATGAGTTGATTAGCAGACAACACAAAATCACATCACGAAAAACCTGCCAAAACATCACTTTATATGAATAAAAAAACACTATCATCCTCCCCATTAACCAATCCAAATACTCACTTCATTCTAAAATATAAGTTGTATTAACTTATTGAAAAGACAAATTTCTTTAATTTTGACCAAGTTCAGAACCAAAAAAATCGACATCCACAATATTAGATAAATAAAATATGAAAATTCATTTCATGATGAATCTAAAAAAAGATTTGATATTATGGATATTCATATATTTCTACACAAATGTGGTCAAACTTTTACATTTTGAAATAAATAGAGTAAATAAATTATAATAATCCAATAACATCAACGGCGCAGCGAAGCACGCTCAACCGTTCTAGTTAAACTATTCTAGCTATATATGCGGCTATCTAAGCATGGACCTAAAAAAATTAAGACCAGTGTGTGTAGATAGCTTTGGATGGCCATGCTCCTGCATCCATGTTCGCAGACAGATGCAAAAATAAATTTGTGGGTCAGTGTTGAAGATGCCTTTAGATGTGCAATAATTAGGACACATCTAGATGTATAACCGGCCACTCAAAAAAGTTCTAGATGTATAGACATATGCAACTAGGTAGCATAACTAGTTGTTTCTAATTCAAAAATGAGAGCACACCTAGTAGACACTTCAATTGAAGCGCATAAATTTTCTTCCGAACCCGTTTTCTGTGAGATCCTGTGTTACAAACATATACACATAAACCGCCGTCCAAAACATATGTGAGCAGCATATATATCTGTACCATATATATTTACAGGATTAGTCCTTTTTTATCATTTTCCATGTGTTTTTTTGGTATTTTTTTCTCTAAAGGTGGACAAAAAACATAAGATGTCTAGCTAAGCTAACCCTTGAAAAGAATCAGATAGATATGTTTGCCTTTGCCTATCATTCATTGCCTTTCCCTTCACTACGGTCAATTCTTCACCATAGCACTCCAATCATGTCCAAACAAAACCAAGCCACAAGCCACCATCATCTGCATTCATTCCTCAACAGAGTTACCACGTTAGAGCCTCAATCCGCCGAGCAATTCGTGCCGATTCTTCTTCTCTCGCAGCAGCCTCGGCGCATGCCGGCCCTGTGCATGCATGTCGCTCCTTGTTCTTGAGCTCTTTCCTTTGTTCTAGCTGTCAAGCTTTCGTGCTGCGGTGAAAATTATATGAGGATGCCACCAGGACAAATTCTTTAGCATTAGTAGCAAAGCATGCCTCCATTAGCCACCCACTGAGCAAAACGGTCAGAATAGTCGCGGGAGTCTGACAGCTGGCTGCTTGAGCGCGACAGGTCGGTGTCATCCCTTCCCTGTTAATAAGGGAGACAGGTTCTAACACTGATGAATATATAGATTAAAATATGAACCGTATAAAATTCGGATCAGGGAAACCCATCTCAAGGTTAAGCCGAGTGGGGTGTACTATCATATCATAGATCCTGATGGACCTAAGCTTTTCACAGCGAAAAAAGGTTAGAAAGACAAGCTGACCTCATCATTGTGTCCTGGCTCACTGTAAGTAGTAGTAGATCCAACACTGATACCATCCAAAGGTGAATGGATGATCGATGACCTGTAAATGATAGTTTGAAACTTTGAGGAACCTTCTTAATTTCTAATTTTAACCCTCACAATGGTTGGAGTAGCATCACATTATCAACCTTGGTAAGAGATCAAGGTGATGTGAACGTAACAAATGAGAAAAAATGTAAACTGGCAGCAGTATATAGTACCTCTCAAAAGCTTCTTCATCACAAGAATTTCCTGAAGAAGATAACAAATCAAGATCGAGAAAATTTGAAGAATGCAACTCCGGGTAACCTAATCTTTTCAAGTAACTCTGCCGTTCCTCTGAAATGGAGTGTCTTCCAGGCATTGTGCTATATTTTGCACTAAACATAACAAAAAGAAGAAGTTAGTCGTGCTGCACTCATGGACAAGCTGAAGTTCTCCAGGGTCCAATTTTAACAAGGATTTCTCCGCAAAAGATAAAAAAGATTGAACAAGGTTTAACACACCTGGGGCATGGGTTTGTTTCACACATATAGATCTCTGGTGCAGAATCAGTAGGCTCTCTAATATCATCCAGCTGTTGCACGGGCAGTAATTCTGAGTTCGCAGTGTTGTTTTCGCCGACATTACGGTCAGACACGGGTGCACTGTTTTCACATAGAATATTTCCATCCGAGAGCGACCTCTTTATGAATCTGCTGATATGAAATGTCTCATTTACTAATATATGCATGTAAACTTGATTGAAGAACAACGACAAACTAATTGATTCTAGATTGTTTCAGTAATCCATCATTATGTAAGAACTGAACATCAAGTTAGGTTCTCCAGTATCATATTTTATTAACGGTCACCAGAATTTACTCTGTTGGAACATCCAAACATAATTATCTGTAATGAAAGATGCATGTAAAAACACCTAATTCTTGTTACTCCAGGGTATCAGAGCCCTATGAACTTGCAGCTCCAGAAACAAGTTTGGTATTTCTTGATTGGTGACAACTTTTTCACACGTATTACATAGACCAAGAGGGAGCAACAATGACATTTTTGTTAGAGATAGTTGTACTGTAGTAGGACTCATATTGGCCTTCAGCCGATGGAACGAGGGAATGGATCAAGTTACAATATCTAACAATTTCTACTTGATATACCATCTGATTAAAGCCAAGAAAAGTATCCAAGTAAAAGCTAATGGTGTAAAGAATATGTTCGAGACCAGCTCATCAAGCAATGTTGTTGTTAATGGAAGAGTTTATATCAGCACCTTCCAGTTTCTTCACTTAAAGTTCCCTGCCGGCCGATATTGTAATGCTGATCTGAGTCCAACTTCCAAAGAGGTGGTTTGCCTTGTTGAGGCTGAAAATGACCCAAGAATCTGCGTTTCAAAAAAAAACACAACATATAAATCTTATGTGGAACTATAAGACAAATGTCAGCATTTTCCAATTTCCATTGGTTTTGTCAGAGTGATATTTTTGCAGACATGAAGAAGCTTACACATTTATAGCATCCTGCTTCTCAGGATCTGTGTACGCATTATTGTAGTAACGCTGAAGGGTTCGAAGGAACTCCTGGGATTGGGTTGCTGCCTTCCACTGTCCTCTTTGCTCACAGAAGATCTGTAGCATGTTACAATGGAAAAGTTAGACTGATCATTCAAAATACTAAGTTGGATTTGTGTTAACTACTGAACACTGCCTACCAACAAGACTCGAATCATTCTGAAATAAAAATGTTCAAGATTACAACAGCAAACACTTAAAATAAGAATCAACTATAGGGTTTTTCTCAAAAACTATAATCAGTAAGAAATACCTGTTATTTTAGTCACAAAAATTTTAGATGCAAACACTCAAGATAGATCATAAATACACTCAGCATGCTTGGGTGGCAGATGTCCTCGCCCTATTAACAACCTCTACTGCTAAACTTGTTTCCAAAGGGCAAAGCCACGTGTACAAATTGATTTAGGAAGTTCATTTAATCATAGGAAGACCTGTGAGAACAAACGTTTCATATTAGGTATCAACTGTCCTGGTGCGCATGACCTTTCCTAAAATGACAAGAATGACAGACCTGACACATGATGATAGTTCGCAACTGCCCTTTCAGAGTCCTATTTTCAGGTGACAGGTAGCCTTAATGTTTATTTGACTTAAACATGTGGCTAAATAGCCGAACACAACAACAGAGAAAGGAAAATAAATGTATAAATCAAATGATAGAAAAAGGGAATAGTGGTGTGGCAATTAGAAGTATAGAACTACTCTGGGAAATTATAACTACTCCAGAGGTGGTAAAGAATACATTAAAACAGTACTCCCTCCGTCCCATAATGTAAGACATTTTTTTACACTAGTGTAGTGTCAGAAAACGTCTTACATTATGGGACGGAGTGTGTAGTAGTAGTACACAACTGCACACCTTCAGAGTATGCATACTAAATTTTAGTTCTATAAAACGCAATTTCAAGAGTTGTGTTATGCAGATTATGTTCCTCAGGAGTCACAGATATAACAAGAAGCTAACCTTGTTGTGAGCAGCAGAACCACCGTACTGGATGGCTAATGTATCACCCATCCTTTCATAGAAATCCATCAGATCATCGGCCAAAGGATCATGCAGATCAATTTTAGGTTCTTCAGTGAGCTTCAACACATGAAGTTGACGCCCTAAAGCAGCTAATCCATATGCAAACTGTGCAACATTTGTGCGGTCTAAGCAGTCTATGCAGTTTGTCCTGAGGACACCCTTCTGTAGTAAAAGAGGTACCATTGTAGCTGCGCAGAAATCATCATTGATTTTGATGTCACATGACCCTTGTCCACTGCAAAACATGTAAAAGATAACCATTAGTACTGCCAGCAGAAAGCCAGCAGGAAGTCCATTACTTGCACATTAGGTTGACATGTTTCCTTTGGGTAAGTAGTTTCCATTTTGTCTGCACTAGAGTACATATTTGTTTTAGATACGCATGTCAAAATCAATTCCGATAGGAAAGGTGTGGCAGCTATCTTTGAGTTTAAGCAATGGACTAACAAAGTCTTCTAGTAAGCAAGTCCCTGCCAATCATCTCTTATCTGACCAGCTGTACTACATCTGTTCCTCTCCAAATCAGTGCTCTCTTTTCACATGGCCATGTTCTCCTCTCATACGGATGTTTACCCATGTTGCGAACTAACACTGACCACATATATACTATGCAAGACTATTTTTATACAAATAATATCGGATGGTTCCTTCTGTGTGAAGTATATAAAGCCATGTAGATATATGGTCAAACATTTAGAACATATTGTAGTTTATTTGCTGGAGGGCTCATTTCATGGATTTGCTAAATCAAACTTATCGATTCTTAAGCAATTGCAAGTTCCTAAGTAGGTATACAAATTACCTTGAAGCATCCAAAGGTTTTGATGCTGTAGTTATCTCGCAATGGAGGAGGTCCGTTAGTTCCAACACATCTGATGCTACCTTGTTTAACAGTCCAAGCACATTGGTGCCTTTCCTGCAGATGGCATGAAGATTAATATCGTTAGCACGTACTTCACGCATAACCAACAGGTTCTTACAGGAGCAAGCTCAGATAGAATATCCTCTTGTAATACAATAGATTACCTTCGAGATAGCTTACTCAGATCCATGTGTAAAAACTTAAGACGTTTGTCATCCGGTAACCCCTTATTTATGTAATGGATAGCCTTTGCAAATTCTGCACGGAGCAAAGATTCACGAGGCTTCTTCTCACGAGTCTGAGAGATATACAAGCAATCCAAAAGGGAGTATTCAGAAAGGATCCCAACAGCTATCAAGCTGACCATTAAATCAATAGATGAAAATTACGTTAAACAATTACACTCACCTTGATTAAGTTTAAGATGACTATAGGGTTCCCGTATCTAAGAACAAGGTTTTCGAAATGAAGGCGGGTGGCCTTGTAGTCCACATCGGATTTTACTGCAGGTGGCAAGGATTATCAGAGAAGTCTACAGATCTGCAAATTCATAACAGACTAACGGTACATAACTTACACGTGATTTCTGGCCTAATATTAAGTCTTGAAGTTTCCTGAAACCAGACAAGAGGTATTGATCCTCTATGTTGTACAACAGAAGTTATTTGACTTGGGATGTCATCAGGTGTGTCTTCAAAAACAATCTGTTCAGTCTCAACATCATTGGCAACCCTACCCTTTTCATTAACACCTCGTTTCATGAATCTATATTTCAGAATGATAAAAATAAATACATTTGTGAGATAAATATAAAGGTGAGCTTTGACTACAGAAAAGCTCAAATACTTGTAACACGAACCTGGTTCCAGCAAAATGACGTGAGCGTCTGGCTATAAGTGTCAACCAGAAATCCTTCCCAGATAATGACAGCTTCGACTGAACACACGAATATATATATCTATTAGCTTATCTTCGTATAGTACATGAACAGATGAAACACACTACTAGCATGTAAGCCTTGCAAAGACAAAAACACTACTAGCATAACGTCATTTCAACCCGAATAGCAATAATAAGAGATTACTATTAGTTCTTAATTACACTCATAAATATAATAAATACTGGCATAATGAGGTCTTGCACAAGGAACAAGGGATTGTGCTCAATGCTTGCTAACAGACATTTAAGCTATAAATAGCAATTCAATGATGACAGTGCAGTACACTACTATGCACCAGGAACATACAAAAGATGGAAACTGAAAAAAAGCAGGAACAGTCTGCTGACACTTACAAGCAAATGTTTCAACTCGCGAAAGCTGCAAGCAGCTCAAACTGAAAAATGTCAGCAGGTTATACAAAGCCATGCGTTTGCAAACCCTTTATTTCAAGCATTCACTACATGTCAGGTCATTAAATGTGCAGTAAAACGCATACGTTAGTACGATGGTATTGAGTTAGCAGGAGCCCTTGTGGTCTTCCGTGATGAATAGATGATACTGGTAAGATCAATAATTGAAGATGATGGAAATTAAAAATAATGTAGCGCCAAAAGACTTTGTGTCACGGAAGAGTATACCTGTTTAAAAAATCCATGGACCAAGGCCACTGTCCAATCGGTATTCTTGAGATGGTTCCGCATTGCTCGTGTCAAAAATTCATTCCATACAAACATTGTTTCATAAACAACATGTCCAGTATTTTTGTCATTTATGTTCTTCTGAAGACTGCGCATGATGTTGTAAGAGTAGCTGAAGAAGAAGTCCTTCGTAAGATCGACCGAGCAAAGGAGACGTTTATATCTACAAAAGGTGGGCAATAAAAACATTAATATGTGCAGACAATAACAATCAAAAGAACATTAGCAAGAATATATTTAAAGTACATTTATAATAGTATAAGTATAATACTATGGGAGCAAAGAAATTCAAAACAATTCTATATACCTCTGACCATCCATACACAAATCTCAGTACTGCAAGAATGGGCATGATGTACTGACCATATAAGCTGGATACATATTATTATCAACAAGCAGATTTTATACTTATATAGACAAAATAACATTAAATGCACCAAAAGAAATATTACACCATTGCTGGACCAAATGGAAACTAAAAATATGAATACACGCCGGAAAACTTATCTGAAAATAATGCAGTACAAAACAGTACAATAAAATAAAATAGACGCCACCACCAACAATGCACATTGTCTGATCACAATGTAGCACCAAAATGAACTGGAATATTTGGAAAAGGGGCCTAGAGTAACATGAATGAATAGCAAATCAATATCCAAGACTCCAGATACAAAAGGAAGCAAGCTGGTGATTTTGATATTGTTAAGAACCAGCGATGGAATTACAACAGGCAATACACAATATCTACAGAATGAAACAATGAAAGACCTGTTCTCATCCCTAGAATTAGCCACATTGGGGCAGACTATAGGACATGGAATTGCGATCATTTCACTCTTGCCAATTGAATAAATATCATGGCCACAGATTGTGCCAACTTTTCTTCTCCTGGTAATTATAACCATGTAGTAAGGACCAAGAAACTTCATAAAACCTGAAGAAGCACAGAAGTGGTAAATGTTATAATTTGAACAGCTACAACATTTTGATTGATATACTCTATGAATCTCAGTTCATGTTGAAATACCAATTATTCCGTAGCATTTTGTGACAAATTTCAGCCCACCAGTCAACCTATTTCCCTCATGAATTCGCCAAAGTAGTTCTTGACATTCATTCTCTGTGTAACTAGTAGGATCCTCCTGGATACCTAAATCAGTAGACTCCAACCGGTCAATCTTTAGCACCCTCCAAAGAGTCCTGCTCTTGTCTCTTCCGACAAGATAAAATTTCTGCACCAAAATATCAAACAAATATTTAGCACAACAGAATTTGAGCTAGAACGCACAGAGAACTTTTGACATCAGGCCTCACTTCTAGTAAATCAAAGAAACGGTGCTCGAAGGATGACAATTACATAGCTTCTATTGTTCTGTACTAACGACCAGTAGCTAAATGTTGGCTTCTGAATTATGAATATCTGAGAATCATTACACATATACGCAACAAGGTCAGCTGAAAGCCAGAAAGTTTAATTTTCTGCATCAGCAGGGCAATCGCCAAGCCAGAAGGCAAACACCACAACATTACATCATCATTAAACAAGATCGACCAGCAAATAATTAATCTGCGTGACACAATTGCAGGGAGCAACAAAAAGGAACAGAGTCTTCCCTCCCCTGTAAAAGAAACAAAAAGAAGGATCTCCCCTCACCTTTTTGCAGCCTTTCACCCTTCCCTTTCCTATAATCAAATCGGACCGAACCAATCATACAGTAGATCCGCCCCACAGTGCAAGCATAAATGACCCAATAATCCAATCAACCATGAACAAACAAACAAACAAACACAGGCCCCCATTATAACAGAAACACACGAGGTTGACTGACACAAAGATTGCCATGTCCAAGGAAGCTACGGATACAATCCAGTTCAAGGCAAAAACCAAATCAAGGGACTAGGTAAACAAAATTTGCAAGAGATGCTCACCGATCTGGTTTCGTAGAGCCGGAACTTCTGGAGGAATTTGCCGCCTCTCATGGCCTCCATCGGATCAGAAATTCAGATCAACACGCGGGCAGACAAGAGGGCCAGAACGAATCCGAGCCTGAGAAATTCAGAGCAAGCAAACGGAGACTCCGCGTGGTTCAGCTAGCTCCTCTGCGGCTGCTTCAAGTAGAGCATCTTGGTCTCGCGCGAGAATGCTCCAGGGCGACACAAGAACCAATCACGGAGCCCGCCGCTCGGTTCAAGAAGACCAGGAACGGATCGAAATGGATCCAATTGACAATCTGATGCCGGAAATTGCCCAGAAAACACACGCGCCTTCGGATCAAGAACGCGGGAGAGGGAGGAGGAAATCGACGGGGGAACCAAGAAGCCGATTCAGGGGGAGCAAGGGGGGATTTTCAGGGCCGCCTCCGCGGGAGAGATGGGCGGGTCATAAATAGGAGGGGACTAAATTTCCGGGGCAGAAAGGATGGATTTTTTCCGAGGGCAACGCGGGGGGAGGAAGACGAGAGCCACAAGGAGGAGGAAGAGGTGGACGAGGCTGGCTGGCGACGACGACGCCGTCGTCCACAAAAACACCACGCAAACGCAACGCCAGGCGAGAGTGGCAAGCCGCAAATGCCACCGGACTAATCATTGCGGCGGCAGCGGCATCTTTTTTGGCCGGATTTATTGTGCTCTTTTCATCACAAAGAGGGGGAAAAAGATGCTTTTACCGGAGAAGAAGAAACTTTGGGTTTGGCTTTGGCTTGTCCAAGAGGAAGCTGGTAAACGGCCTCTTTTTGGTAGGAGCAGGACGAATTTTATTTACAGTGGAGGATTTAACTACCGGCTGTAATAATAAATAAATTGATGGAGGGCAATTTAGGGAGCCGTTAAAGATGGGCTTTTTTTTATGTGTGCGTGTGTTTGTTTAACAATGTGTGGTTCATTCAGGGGGAGATGATAACAACATTCTCAAAAGAAAAGTAGTGGGGATGAAACGATAAAACGTTGATTAGGTATTCCATGATCAATGTCAATGGCAGCTACCTGGCGCATGGGAATAGTTTAGGCCCTAGTGCAAGCTTCCCACATGGAATACTTAATGCAGTGCTTATTCACCAATCTTGTTTTGCAAGGTGCGACTTCCTCAACTAGGAAGGGATCAAGGGGGGTTGGGAGGGGAGATATACTCATCTGAACAAGAGTTTGTGTGTGGTTTTGCTTTTCAAAACATAGACAACTCGCATTTTGGGGGTATCGAGATAAGCTCAATTAATTGCCAGTTCTGCATAAATCACAAGAATACTTCTTTTGTAATAAGTTATGTAGTTTGTACCGTAGACATTTGCCTCTATAACATCTTGTCTTGGTGAACTGAGGGTAGCTCAAATGGTTAGATTCTTTATGGTGAGACCAGTCCACCAATGTTCAAGTCCCAGACTTGCACTACTGTCTGTATTTTCTTACATTTATTTCAGGTTTTTCAACGATGTTCCTCCAATGGAAGAAGACGTTCCCGTCGACTACGTGACAACTATGTTGACTTCATCCAATTAACAAGTTGTGTCGCGTCGGTGTCTCGGAGATGCTCATAGAGGGTAGGGTATGCCTGCATGCATTCAATGTTAAAAAAGAACAACTCATTTTGTGATTTGTGCACGACTCACAAATGGACATATTCTTTTCAAAAAATACTTGGGCAAATTATTCTTTATCACATGCAGTTTTTTTTTGTATTTTGTAGTATAATAATTTATACATTTCACCAAATTTTGGAAAAGCTGGTCTGTATGGCTCTCTACTTCAAAAAGATAGTAGGGGTGAGGAAAGAAACAGGGCCGGTGAGATAGAAGGTGGATCTAGGACAATAAGGATAGCTTATATATGGTACCTGCTTCTCAAAAACCTTGAAAATTCACACATTTTAAGTAGCGAGAAAAATATGATTATTCGCGAGTTGTGCGAAAATCACAAAATATCGTTTACATAGTAAGTTGTGAAATTTATACTGTATACTATTGTAACAATTAGTAATGTGATTCATGCACAAGTTGCAAATGGGTATATTAGTTGTTTACCAACAGCTAGTAGGACAAGTTCTTCTATATCCGCATGCATGATTTTTTTCAAAATTTGTATAACATATACTTTCTACTAAATTCCAGAAATTGATCCATATTTTTGTTTGAGAGAGGCAATAGATGAATTTCCATATGTAACTTTTTTACTAAACAAAAGGATAAGTAAACAAAAGAAAAGTGCATGAACATATTTAACCAGGCACCCAAATAGCCATGTTAGGCTCCAAATATCCGCTCCGCTTTCAAAAGATAGGGGCGACCTATCCATCATTTGGCTGAAAATGATTTAAAATCAGCCGATTTAATAGAAAGGTTGGAAGTGCTTCTTCCTCCTCCGACCAGTTCTTTCCCCTCACGACTTCCTTCTCATACCGTCCACCAGCTACACCGTTGTCGTGTCGTCACCTGCTCCGGGGTCGCTCCTAGATCGGCATCGCCTGCGTCCCCGCGCCTCACTGACACTCGTCGTGGCGTCCCTGTGTCGCCAAATAAACTGAAACAAATCCAAATTTCAGTCAATGGATGAATAACAAATGAGCAAAAGAGACTCTACAAGTTCTAAACACGGCCTCTGGTTGTTGCTGATTAGGACGCCGTGTTTAATTGCTCGCTTGGTCAAAATTTATATTGTTGGCACCAGAGAATTTGGGTGCCAATTGACACCACATTGAGTATTGTAACTCCGCACCGGAGCTAGTGTGGGGAGTAGCCCCATGACATCTTAATGAGCAACAATAAGAGGCCACGTTTACGCTAATTCATGCCCATGGGACCATTGTGGATGCTTCACTACGATCTAGTACAACCAAGGTCATGGTCCCGGAATTGTATTTTGTAACTTTATGAAGTTTCCTTCAATCCCGCATTACTAATGGCGAAAAATATGAGTTTGTGTGTGTATACACAACCGAGTTGTTAATCTGCGCTCAGCATGAAACTAAAACTTATATAATCCCTCTGTTTTTATTTATTTCGCATATTAGCTTTGTTCAAAGTCAAGCTTTATAAATTTTGACAAAGTTTATAGACAAAAATATTAACATGTACAATAACAAATCAATACCATTAGATTCATTATTGAACGTACTTTCGCATCATATAGATTTGTTATCGTAAATATTTATATTCTTTCCTATAAACTTGATCAAACTTTATGAAGTTTGACTTTAGTCAACTATAATATACAGAGTAAATAAAAACGAAGGAGAGTACTAGCAAATAACGATAGGCCGGTACGATGACCCGCTAACCCGCAACCAAGCTTTTACATGCAACTGGGAGGAGTGCTATCATGCAGCTGTCTTTGTTTTTAGCAAAAAAAATCTCTGAAAAGACAGTGATTCAATCATGCACTAAGTTACTAATTATGATTGCTGGTGGAATTAACAATCGATCATCTAACCACCTAGATTACACACCAAGCCTCGGCTCCTTGAATTTAGACGTGTGGAGTCAGCACCAGGCACCGGTCTATTCTGCAGGACCACTGCTGAAAACCATTGCATGCTCACCCAGCTCCACAAGATTGCATTGCATGGCGTTCGACCAAACGACCATCTAGATCAGTCCACCAAAATTCAGGAACCACCAATTAACCTTCCCAACGAGTAATTCTTTTAGTACTAGTAGTATATATTTTTGGAACCAACCTTCACAGCTAATCAATTACGAATATTTGTTCTTGTTCGTTCTGCGTCTAGCTGTTTTTTCATTGTACTCGCTATTTTCCTTGAAAACTAACAGAGATGCCATTCTAATTATTTTCCCTTGAATTCTTTTTTTCTGATAAGGCATCCTTATCCACTTGCCCCAGGACACATGATAAGCACAAGGCCAGCCCTCACTTTTAACTCAGCTTTTCAGCGCAGCACAGCGCTTATCATCGCCACCAGATTAGCACATGAGCTTATCTAATTCTACTTTCACTTTTTATCTTTTTATTAGTCTCTTCTCAGGCGGATCCCGGACAGGCGGCGCGCGGAGACCGTCGGGAGCTCGCCGGAGTCACGGGCGGTCAATCTAGCACAGTGCTTTTCCTCTTCTCTCATCTGCGCACAGTGTGTGACCTTGACCTCCTTTTCGTGCTGGTTTTTAATGTTGTCTCTGCAGAGCACTGTGGAGTTGAGCGTTCGGTGTGTGATGGCGGCTCGTCCACATGGATTTTGATTCGGACGGGGACGAACAAGTGGCCGGGGGCGTGGCCAGGTAGGAGACGGTCTTGGTCCACCGGCGATGTGACGGCGGCAGCCGCTGCTGCATGGGCCGATGCCCAACACTACCGGCCTTTGTGTCCCTTTTTGGGTAGTGGGTGCTTCGGGTACGAGCAAGTCCACAATTATTCATTTTTCTATGTCTGTATTTGGGGTATGGTCGTTGTAGTGGTCTTGATGGGTTGATGGGGAGAGCCTTTCTACTTTCATGTGAACTTGCGTTGGCTTGGATTTGCAAGCTAGATGCTGGGCCGCGTAGGCACATGCCGGGGAAAGTTTTGGCTTTGCAAGCCAAACTAGGCGTGACATGACAATGTGCTCAAGAAAGGAGTAGCCAACTAGGAAGTTAACTGTGCGTCCACATGTTCATCAGTTTAATTTCGAGTTTGCTTGTGTCATGCTGGCGTCCAGGAACAATAGCAATGAGGGCATCTCCAACGTCATCCATGAAATCGTCCGCAAGCATCCGGACCGAGGTGTTCGGACGTTTTTTGCCATCCAATCCAATGCCACAAACGCCCGCAGACTGGTCCACATATTTCAATTTCTGCAAACCGAAAGCAATCATAAGGAAGGTTTGCAGTAGTCCGAACATTTGTCTGATCAATCAAAAGCCACCATGTACCCCTTTCTTCTTTCCGCCCGGATGGCAGAAGGCAGTTGTTGCCTTTTTTTGAAGGCATGCTTGGCGTTTTGGCGGAAGGCTTTGAAAGGTCCTAACTCCGAAGCCACTTTTCTTCTTCTTCAAGTGTTTGGCGGAAGC